GGGGTTCTGTTGGACTGCCTGGAAGCCCTTTCAGATGGCTGTGGGGCGATTTTGGAGCCTCCCAAGCGACTGCGGTCGCCCAGAATACCGCTGTCTTGGAGCGTCGGGAAGCCGAACAGAGGAGAACCCCAAATTCACCAAAAACCTGCATTAAATCTATGATTTGTCCCTCTTGGGGCCTTCTTGGGGGTGCTCCTGGAGGCCTCTTGGTACCTTTTGGAGCGATATTTCCGGGCATGACGGCTTCTTGGAGCGCTCTTGTGTTGTCTTAGGATTCTCCGGGACGTCTCCGATGACCACCCTGATCGCCCTAGGTGTGCTGCGAAGGCTTGGCAAAACGCCCTGCGAAGCCCAGGGGGCCGCTTCGAGGCCCGTCCGAAGGGTCCCAAAGCCCCAGATCCCGGGAGTCCGTTTTTTTTTAAGGGGGGACGGTTTTCCCCCTCGCCCGGGCCTGTAAAAAAAGAGGAAGAGGAGTATATACATCTATATATATATATATATATATATATATATATATATATATACTGTGAGGTGTAAGCCAAGTCTGCATCGCAAAGCGGGGGGGGGAGGGCAGAAAAGGCGAAGGGGCAGACCATTCCTTGACAAAAACCTTGCCCCGATTTGCGGCCGCCGCGATCTCCGCGACGACCTCCCAAACCGATTTTGAGCCTTGGTTCGGGGCCGGAAATCACGCGACGAGACAACGAGTCCCAGAAAACCGAAGTCGAAGAAAAATAGTTGGAACTGAACCACCACATCGTCCGATATCTGGGCTCCCAACACGGCGACTCGAGGCGAGTCTTCTCCTTGCGGACTTATGGAATCGGCGCTGGAACCCCCTCCCTGGAGCGCGGAACGCGCCAGGGGCGGCGCCGGATGTGCCGCCAGGGGGAGGCGCATCACCGTTCCACGAAATCCGTGCGGAACTCCGAATGTTCATGCTTATGCGAATTTTCGCTGCTGGACTTCCCGCAATGACGGCCCGATCCAAAAAATAGCCCATACAAACACCAACAGTGTGTTCAGAAAGTCCAGCACGCATACGAACACACGTAAAGCCTCTTCCAGAAGAGATAGAAGAACACGTCGTGCAAAAAAACCAAAGGCCCTCAGCGCACTCTGTGGTAGGCCAACAGGCAAGTCAAGACGCTTTTCGCCACTGCTTGAAACCATTTGAAACCTGTGGCGAGCCTGGGCCGAAAAGATCCGGGCGGGTGGTAAACCTGAAAGGACTCTGGACCCCCCCCACTTGGGGGAACTAGTGATTTTTTCGGCGGCCTCATTGAAGAACTGAAGTCCCACCAATAGGGGGTAACCAATGATTTGTTCCCGCGGCACCCGCAGCGCTACAACGACGCGGATGATGATGATGATGATGATGATGATGATGATGATGCTGATGATGATGCTGATGATGCTGATGATGATGCCGATGATGAAGATGCTGATGATGATGATGATGATGATGATGATGAGGGTGATGAGGGTGATGATGATGATGATGATGACGACGACGACGATGATGATGATGATGATGATGATGATGATGATGATGATGATGATGATGGTGATGATGATGCTGATAATGCTGCTGCTGATGATGATGCTGACCACGATGATCATGATGATGATGCTGAGGAGGAGGGGGACGAGAAGGAGGAGGCGTAGGAGGAATTTGGGCGGTCAACTCTGGGGTGAAGATAAAGGCCCCAGAGGGGTCCCTTGGGGCACCTTTGAGGCCCACTAAGGGCCTTCTCTGAACCCCCCCCCCCCAGTTTCCACCCGCCTGAAAGATCCCGTCATCGGAGATCCAGGTTCCCCCAGTTGCGCGGCGCGTGCGAGGATGCGACGCGAGGGAGGCGGCCTTTCCAAGAAAAGACGGCCCAGGGAGCTTCTGCGAAGGGAGGGGGCTTCTCGGCAGCCCCCTCGTGACGAGCCTTCTCCCAAGCCCCCGCGGGCCCTTCAAAGGAGGCGCCTGCCGTCTAAGACGCCCAGCCGTCTTCTTACGGTCGGGAACTTTCAGAACTATGCCTTGCCAGCGGATGGAGTGTCGCTCCGCTCAGAGGGCCGGGGGGCCTCGAAAGGCTCGGACCGTTGACGCCTGGCGGCAAAGAAATGAAAAGCGTGTCGCGCCGAAGCGTGGTGAGCCAAAACTGGCCGATCACCCCCCATGACCCGTCGGTCGGAAGAAGAAGGTGGAAGCATGAAGTAGGGAGGCGGGCAAAGTAGATTGGGCTCGTGCCCGCCCAAAGAACAACAAGAAGCAGTAAGAACACATCGATTCTTGAAAAAAACGAAGGCGCTTGATCTGGGAATCCAGCAATACCTACTCTCAATGGCCAGCGTTTAATGTGACCCGCCCGATCGTGCCCAAAAAGCGGACCGTCTCCTCGTCCAGGCGCGCGTACCGGCACGCCCTCCTCACCGCGCGGCCGATGGCCGGCGCGCCAGCCAGGCCGCCGCCCCCCGCGCCAGCCCCGCGCTGCAGCGCCGCCAGCTCCTGGCGCGGCGGCGGGCGAGGGGACCAATCCATTCGCAGACCCCCTTCTCGTTTTCCTCCTCCCCCTCCTCCTCCTGCTCATCCTGCTCCTCTTCTTCCTCCTCCTCCTCCTCCTCCTCGTCCTCCTCCTCCTCCTCCTGCTGCTTCTCCTCCTCCTCCTCCTGCTCCACCTCCTTCTTCTCCTCCTGCTCCTCCGCCTCCTCCTTCTCCTCCTCCTCCTCTTCCTCCTTTTCCTTCTCTCCTCCCTCCTCCTTATCCTCCTCCTCCTCCTTCTCCTCCTCCGCCTCATCATCCTCCTCGTCCTCCTCCTGCTCCTCTTCCTCCCCCTCATTATCTTCCCCCTCCTTCTACTCTCCCCTCTCCTCCTCCTCCTCTCTTTCCTCTTCTCTTTCCTCCTCCTCCTCCTCCTCCTCCTCCTCCTCCTCCTCCGTCTCCTCGAGTCGTGTAATAATCACGACGGAAGGTTTCTTGAATTGTTTTTCAGCCTCTGAGGGCCCTTCGCCAGGCCTCGGAATCGTCGACAAAACGCCTTAGGGTAAAAACTGGTCTCGGGGAATGGGTCGAGACCTCTGAGGAATCACAAGGGACAAGGAAAGGTGACACCACTACCACCACCACCACCACCACCACCACCAACACCACCACCACCACCACCACCACCACCACCACCACCACCACCACCACCACCACCACCACCACCACCACCACCACCACCAGCGCGAGGCGCCAGGGATGGTCCTCCTGGTGGTGTGGTCTCCCCCTCTCGCTCGAGACACTCTTTATTCCCAGCTCGAGGAGGCATCGTGGACCCCCTCGCTGGAGGTGGACCCCCTGGTGGTGGTGTCGCCAGACCTGCCTCGTGGCACATTGCAAGTGTTTCGCCTGGTTGTGGGCCTCGGGGCCATCACAGATGCATCGGGCTCGGCACGTGCAGCAGAAAGATAGTATCTCGGGACCAGGTTCTGAGTTTTCGCGATGTTGCATTCTTGTCTGCAACGTCGGATCTCAGGGCTCCTCCTCGATAGAGTCAAGTCGCATGGCAAGGATGCGCGGTAAGGATGCAAGGCCCTTGGAGGGCAAATTTGGCGTTTTCGAACGGGGTTGGCAATCAAAAGTCGCCAAGAATGGGCCGACTGGGCAAGGATGCAAGGGTAGCCCTGAAAAATCACTCATCCTTGCTATGCGACTTGACTGTAGCCCTCCTCCTCCTCCTCCTCCTCCTCGATCCTCATTCTGCCTCCTCGGTCCACGGCCCTGCGATCCCGGCTCCTCGGCCGCCACGCCTCAGCGGGGTGGCCTTTTCGCGGATGCCCCGTGCGGAGAACAAACGACACATGACCGAGCCACAACGAAGGAGACTGGCCAGCCGAGCTTGAATTCACCACACGGCGCCGACTAGAGAGGAGCTGGGAGGGCAACAGACGAGGGAGTGGGCGGGGGAATGCCGAACCCAAGCTCGCCCCCTCGCTCCCTCCCGTGGACAGGCAGAGAGGGAAACGCCCTCGCTTCATCGCGTGTTGTCCCATCAGTACCCTCGGAAGCGCACTCGCCACTCGCACCCTCGTTGCCCTCGGACGACGCCAAGGGGGTGCACGGTGATTGTAGAAGCAAGCAAAACTGCATAAACCTAGACGTTCGAGGATCTGCGCCGAGGTCCTGGATCGGCGCTGGAAGCGCCTCCCGGGCGCGCGGAGCGCGCCAGGGGCGGCACAGGAGGCGCCGCCAGGGGGGTCCAGCGCACAGGTGGCGACGTCCGAACCCTACCCCCGCCAACCATCGACTCTCCCGAATCGATGGGAGGCGGGGGCAGGGCTCGGAGGTCGCCGCGCGCTCGCCGAATTCCGAACCCTACGCCCGACGCCCATCGAGGTGCCTGAATCGTTGATCGGCGAGGGTAGGCTTCGGACGTCCCGCTGAGCGCGGACCCAAGGAATTAAAGCGGACCTCTGAGAGTCGATGATTGTGCAACGCTCCCCCTCGCAAGAAAAGATAAAGAAAAGAAGATCTACCCGCGCCCTCGCTCCATCCCGGGCAGGGAGGAGAAACGAAACAGCTACCCATGGCACCAGTGACCCATCGGGGAAAAGCGACCCCTGGGCTGTGGCACGCCCGAACATCACCTACCACGGGACGACGCTCAGGCGTGCTACCGCACAGTGGTCGGCCCCCCAGATGGCTTATCGGTGGCGGTGGTCCCTGCTTCCCATCCGAATTGGGAAGCAACCCCTGAAGCCCAGCGATCGGACCCTCAAACCCCATTGGCCCGAAATGAACCTGGGGGCAAGACGGATGCAGCCGGATGCAGCCGGAGTCAGCGGGACTGGGCGAGACTGACCGAACCAGGCCTGTTCCTGACCGTGGATACACCAGCGCCGAGGCTGATCAAAACTCCGAGTTAAGTGAGATACGCGTGCACTCAACGGAGGGAGAGGAGGAGAGGAGGGGACGAGAGGGGGACCAGGACAGGGCGATGGTATTTTCATGGCAGCGTGGCGACGCGCATCTCCGCCTGGGCGTGGGCCCTGATGGCCCCACGCTCAACGCGAGCGCGTGGGCCCTGACGGCCCGCGCGCTCGCGCTCTGGCACGCCTGCGGCCGATCGGCCGACGCAGGCGTCTGGGAGCAAAGCGGGGTGGGTGGGCACCCGCGCGTCGGCCAGAGCCGAACGCTACGGACCCAAAATGGCTACCTGAGCCCACACCCCCTCCCACTTAACCTGCAATCTACAACCAATCAGACTATACAAGTTAAGTGAGATACGCGTGCACTCAACGGAGGAGGAGGAGAGGAGGGGACGAGAGGGGGACCAGGACAGGGCGATGGTATTTTCATGGCAGCGTGGCGACGCGCATCTCCGCCTGGGCGTGGGCCCTGATGGCCCCACGCTCAACGCGAGCGCGTGGGCCCTGACGGCCCGCGCGCTCGCGCTCTGGCACGCCTGCGGCCGCTCGGCCATGAGAAAAGAAAGACGCAGCCGCGCGCGCGGGGACGCCCCGCCCGAGTGCGAGGGCGGAACCAGAGGCTGCAAGAGCCTCGCGCGCGCGGCCACTTGCCTGCAACCTTGAGGCCTTCCGCGCCCCGCGCACCCAGAGCGCGGGCGCGGCGCGTGCGCGATGCGCGCAAAAGAACCGAAAGGGGGCGGCGCACGATGCGCCGGGCGCAGAGCGCAAGTGTGGCCCCGACCGCACGGCGCGCAAGACGCGCGGCACGGCCGGGTCCAGGAAGCACGCGACGTGCGCGCAACGTTAAACTCCTCCAAAGAGAGAGGATCGCAGGCGCCACCTGCGTACCGTAGGCTAAAAGAAAGAAGATCGCAGGCGCCACCTGCGTACCGTAGGCTAAAAGAAAGAAGATCGCAGGCGCCACCTGCGTACCGTAGGCTCAAAGGACCGCAGGCGCCACCTGCGCACGGTAGGCTGAAAGGAGGGCCGGTTCACTCACAGGCCGCCGCCTTCAGCCCGCGCCCGCGATGCCGCGGGCGCTGGCGTCAGGGTACGGGGGGGGCTCCACGCCTAGATGGAGGGCGTGTTCCCCTGGCGGTCGCGGCTCTCGTCTCCGCTGCGGTCTCCGCCGCGCTCGCTGGGGTCCTGGGGGCTGCCGCCATCGCCGCCCCTCGACGCGCGACCGTCCGCGCTGGGCCAGTCACGCTCACTCCGGCCGCGGCTGCCCTGGTCGCCCTTGGAGTGGCCGCCCTTGCCGCTCTTGTCGCCCTTGCCGCCGCCCTTGGAGCCCTTGGCGGCCTTGCCGGAGTGCTTGCCCTTGACCTTGCCGCCCTTGCCGCCCTTGTCGCCCGCGCCCTTGCCACGCCAGGCTGGGATCCCACCCCCGCCCGCGGCAGCCTCCGCGGCGGCAGCACGCCGCCGCTTTTTCTCCTGCTCGTACCAGCCGCCGCGAGGAGCGCGAAGCTGCCCAGCGTGCTTCCCGGTCTTACGCCGCGCGCGGCCGGGAGGGGTGTCGCCGCGCCGCGCCCACGCTGGGTCCCGCGCCAGACTGCGGCTGGGCGACCTCTCGCGCTTGGGCCGGTTGCGGCTGGGCGACCTCTCACGCTTGGGCCAGCTGAGGTCGCCCGGCGGGCGGTCCCCCTCAGCCCCCGCACCCGTGGCACCCGTGCTGGGGCGCTCTCCATGGCCGGCACTGGGGCCCGGCGCCTCCCGCACGGTGTGGCCGCTCCGCCGGGCCTTCTCCACCACCGTCTTGGGTTTGCCGAAGGCGACGCGGCAAGCCTCGCAGTAGCTCACGTCGCACCCCTTACAGTGCCACCGCAGGGCTCCGCTGTTAGCTCCGCCCGCGGGGCACATCTCGCAACCCCAACCGTCTCCCGGGTCAAAGGAGCTCCAGCGCATCTTGAGTGCGCACGTCGGGCAGGCAGGCGGCTGGATGGTCGGGCCATCCTCCCCGTCGCTGCCTGGGTCAGGGCCGCGAGGTCGGCTCGCCCACTCCGTGACCACCGTGCACGGGTCCGTCTTGTAGAACCGATAGTTCGACCTCATGCACTCCCGCGCGCGCTTTGCGTCAGCGCGGCGCTGGAACTCCACCAGCACGCACGGCTCCCGCTTGTGGCGGTGGTCGTACAGGAAGGCGATGTGTTTGACGACCCCAAAGGGCACGACCACCTGCCTGACCACCTCGGCATCGACGTGGTGCGGTACCCGCTCGATGCGGATGATGGACTCGCCCTCGTCGTGCTGGTCACTGGGCTGCTGCTGGGCGCCCTGGCGCTGCTCCTCCTCCTCCACCTCGGTCTTCACCTCAAAGGACCGCGGCGGCGCCCCCCCGCTCTTGGGCTTCAGGACGGCCTCACGCTTCACGATGTCGGCCTTCGGGGGGGCGCCGCCCGTCTTGGGTTTCAAGACGGCCTCCTCCTCCTGCCCCCTGCGCCCGCGATCGCGAGGCGCATCGCGCTCGCGATCGCGGCGCCTCGCGCGCGAGGGCGAGCGCAAGGGCGCAGGGCGCCTCTCGCGCTTGCGGACCTCTTCGGCGAGGCGCTCTTGGCCCGGGGA